AGGACACAGATCGAAGGTCAAGCTTTAGTCGATACAGTCCTCAAGTTCTTTTTGTAGAGCTAAGCGTCTGGCACGATCCGCCTGTGGACACAGCGTTGGAAAGAAGTCGCACGCTTTCATGACGAGGAAATAGCACACGGTTTATCTAGGTTGACAACCCAAAGTCGGGGACCTTGCGTGCTTTCTTTACTAGGTCGGAGGCCATCGCAAGTAGGGCTTTTTACATGTACAGAAATGCAATATGAAAAGATCCCTTCTTTACCCACTCTTTAGTGAAGGAACTGGATCCAAGCCTTGGTTCGTGTGAGCAGCGCATGTCTGAAAGACTTGTCAAATCAACTCTTGGTCTTGAACGGTTCAAGCAAAGCAGCACAAGCTGAAACGGTGTCCAAAAGTCTGTCTGATTCTTTTGCAGCGCATGGCGAAAGCTTTGAAAGCATGTGGCCTCAAAGCTGTAGCTTTGGGCATCATATTGGGCAGTCAAAGGAACAGAGGGCCTGGTCAAATTGGTCAGCAAAGGACAAACCACTTTGAGAATTTATCTTGACAAACACTTGATGTCTGACAAACGTTGGTACACCACTTGTTTAAGGCGTTCAAAACAATTGGTCCTGGCATCATCATCAGCCATAGCGTTTTGGCTGCAGAAGTGAAACTACGACGAAATCAAGGTCATGTCTCAGATTGCGTTTCAAAACCAATCTTAGTGGTACCAAGGTTCATCTAAGGTTCTTTCTGCGGAGGAAGACTCCGAGTCTTGCATAGCGACCACGGGTTTGAGCTGGTGCATATGTGCCGCATCGAAGAGCCTCAAGCTTTCGAGCCAAAGGAATATGGTCGACCTTTTACTTGCCTCATCTGCCTCCACTTAATGTGTGTGTTCCTAGTAGCGTCCTTTGCTCCTAGTAGTACCTCTCTGGAGAATCTTGAAGTAGATCAAGGAGTTTGGCCTAAATAAGGAAGAGAAATGGAAACTAAACATCTAGGAACGAGGGTCTTGCCGCATCTAGTCGCATTTTTGTTTGTTCTTCTTTCCTTTTATTGTTCTTACAGTATTGGTCTTTGTTCTTTGAGGCCCTTGGATCTTCTATGTTTGCCTTCTGTCTTGCTTTCTTTGTTCCTTTCTTCCCTTCTTTTGTGTTTTTTTGTTTCTTTTTTGTTCTTTCTTCTTTAGATGCAAATGCATTTTTCCTCTTGCGAGCAACATCTGTGGCACCCCTATGCGCACTGCTCACGAGGTAAGAGTACAAGAGCTGATCAATGTGGCAGCTGGTGAAACAAGCAGAAGAATCATTTCAAACACCAAAGTTGAAAACTGAGTTTCTTGGCTGCAGCACTATAAGACTGATACCTTTGGTCCGTTTCATCTGCCACGTGATCAGGCAACCCGAGCGCTTTGCATATTGACATCTAACCCCCAAAGGGCCACTAAGCAAAGCAGCCTCTTTTGCTGGCCTCACCTGGTCAACATCATCACCTTAGTTACGTGACTTCCAAACCTACCTTTCTGGCTACTCTCCACTTGTTCTGACCCTGGCAGGGGTGATGGAAATCTTCATCTTGGCTTTCAGTGCAACTCGGTGACTCAAAAATGTGATAATTGTACAAATATCACTGTCCTTCTAAACAGCTCATGGTCATTCACCAGCAATCTTGGCTGTTCAAGAGTGTTGCCTTCAAGCAATTAAGCCATCATAGACCCCGACTGGCTGGAACAAGAATGTACACAGCCTGCACGCACAGCCAGCTTACGGCGCCTCCACAGCGCGCGCAACCAGCTGACAGCAGCACCGGTGCGCTTTTTGCCAGCTGACAACACCGGGGGCGGCACCAGCACCCGACCAGCACCGCCGCCCGTCTTAAACGCGCGCTCAGCCACCAGCACCCAGGACCACAACACCAGCACCAGCACTGACACCCCTTCGAAAGCGCGCGCAGCCAGCTCATTCTTATTAAGTTTGCAGCAAGAACCCCATAGCTATCCCTAGTGTGCTCTTGCGCGTATAAGTTTATGCGCACAAAAATATGCGCGCAAACAGCAAAGCCCGTAAGTGTCATTGGCCCAAGGCCAAGCAGTATCCAGCACGACTATTTTGTGTGTGTGGCAGGCTGAAGCATGCTGAAACAATGGTCGGTTGAGAGCCTGACGTTGCGCATAGAACAGTGTACGTACAAAAGTATGCGCGCAAACAATACAGCCCTTGACAGCACCAGCACCGGCACCAGCAACCTGTCTCCACCACGCGCAGCCCGCTCACAGCACCATCACCGGCACAGGCACCCGGCCAGCACCGGCGCCCGGCACCAACCTGTCTCCACCACGTGCACAGCCAGCTCACAGCACCAGCACCAGCACCGGCACCCAGCACCAGCACCAGCACCGGCACCCAGCACCAGCACCGGCACCGGCACCCGGCACCAGCATGTCTCCACCACGCGCACAGCCAGCTCACAGCACCAGCACCGGCACCCGGCACCCACCTTCGGCACCGGCACCAGCAACCTGTCTCCACCACGCGCACAGCCAGCTCACGCTCCGGCACCCAGCACCAGCACCAGCAACCTGTCTCGAAAGCGCGCAGGGCAACTCATTGTTATTTGAAGTAAGAACCCCATAGCTTCGCAATCTGGGGAAAAACACCTGAAAGGTCTTGACACCCTCAGTATACAGGTTGGATACAGAATAAACTCTCAAACAAACCGGGTATTTGACGCCTGTTTACTCCAAGTCACAGCTTCGGGCTGTCGTCAGTGCTTCAGGTGCTTCAGCGTTTGGCCCTGCAAAAAGCTTCAAAAAGGCCCGCAGGCGGCACAAACAGACTCGCCGTGTCGGTCAGTTCAGTCAGTTCTCAGAACTGACTCGCTAAAGGCCCTTGTTCCTAGTAGCATCTTTGCTATTAGTAGCGATGCCAGGAGCCCCTAGTAGCGTCCTTGTTCCTTTTTCTTTCATGCTATTTCTTTCGCTTTTAAAGCCTGAGAAGGTGATCAACCGGTCTCACAACTCTCTCAAGGCCATCAATGTGCGGATACATCAGCGGACGAAAGCTTGATGTCGGAGCTTGCTTCAATGTCTGTTGGACTCGAAGAAGCAAAACTCATATTGGAAGCAACAAGCAGAAAGTCTAAACCCTATCTAACTGTTCAAATGGCACAAGTCCTGGCCTCTTCTTGGGCTGAGGTTCGTCTGGAACAGCCGCTGCTTGCTGTAAAAGTGCCTGAAGATCTCTACAGCAGTCAAGAATCTCATCCTCAAACCTAATAGCCGTGGCCTCCAACCTAGGGCCTAAAGGAAGCAAACAGGCCTTATCTCTTTAACCTTCAAAGCAGCACTCTGTGTGCTGATAGCGGAGCTCCCTCTTGTCGCTTGCATGGCACCTGCATGAGCTTTGGATACTTCATGATCTGAGGGCCTCGGATGCTTCGGCCGTGACGACATGACAAACCTCTGAGAGGCATGGAGGACGGTGCCAGAAAAAACATTCGCTCTCATAAGGGGAATGACCAAACGCTTCGTACGCAGAGCTCCAAGTTCCAGGCTGTTGGCCACCTCTGCGAGAGCTTTCTTGTTCCTGTCAAGAAACAGACCTTTCTGTGGGTCGAGCCTGCAAGATATCACGGTCTGCCCAAACCGTCTTCATGTTCACATCATAAATCAATGTTCATTGTAGGTTTCGTTGTAGGCTTTTGCGAGTCAAAAGCGACACCAGCTTTTGATCATTCAGCAGACTTCGCTATTAGGTTGGAGGCCATTGCTATTCACTTCAAGAAGGACTGAGCAGTTCCACTTCAGCGTCGACCATCATCTAACAGGCCGGCTGGGCGTTGTAAGCCTCATCAAGATATAACACAAATAAGCACAAAAATGAAACAAAAGCAATGGGATGATTTTTTTGTAATGTGGTCCTTGCCAAGTTCCCCGGCTGCTCTAGAATTCGATCGCCCAATTGATTGAGCCCAAAATCCTCGCAAATTGTCAGCACCTGCACGAATTGAAGCCAAATGACTGAAGGGTTTCGGAATGGAACGAGTATCGGGAGACGGGAGCAGCGGCAGTAAAGAGAGCGTTCTTGAATAGTAGAGCAAGAAAAGGCTGTGGAAAGAATAGAAGGAAAGGGAAAGAGAAAGAATGAGATAAGACAGAAAAAAAAAAACAAAACAAAATGTAATGATACAAAGAACTTTTAAAAAAGAGAAAGCAAAAGAGTCTTTCACAGACAAACACCCGTTCTAGGTCTAGACCCACGCCTCGACGACGTTGCCGGTGCTCAAATCTTTGGCAAGCCTAGAGCGGCGCCGAGCGACGGCCGTGCAAAGAGTAAAAAGTGAAGGCCGAAGCCCTTTGGCCAGCTTGGCCCTTCTTTTCCTTTTTGAATTACACCGGCACCTAATTCAAACAACAAAACCACCTGAGACGAAAAATATCTCGAAAAATATCCACGAGAGCTTCCAGTGACTGTGAGTGGGTCCAAAGACCCCTCCATCTGACTCCACAAATCTCGTTATATCTCACTTTCTTTTCTTTGGGCGCCGCGCTCACAGTCTCCGATCGCACGGGCAAACAAGTGGGGAGACATGTAAGGAGGCAAGGCAGCAGCGGCAGACACAAAGCCGATCACGCCAGTAGACAAGTGGGGAGACAAAGCATCAATGGCAGCAGGGTACCAAAACTCCGATCAGAACACCTACAGCTTTCAGCTATCTGGAGAAAAATATCATTTTAGAACACATCAACATCAACTTTCGTGGTCTAGAGCAGCAGGGTGGAAGTTAGGCCGTTCGAAGGCATCACTTTCCTTACAGGGGAAGGTCGCGCAGTTGCTCGTTGAAAGCCACTTTTCCTCGTGATGATTGGTTGCAAAATTGCCGTTATCTCACAACTTGCTCAGCGCACCTTGCGGCCTCTACTGGGTCCTAGTTGGAGGCCATCGTTTATTAGAAACAAAGAAAAAAGAAAAGGATGGTTTATGAAGACGGCTTGTTTGCCAGAGTCTAAACGAGCTCTAGAAAAGGCGCTCGAAGGGCTCATGTGTTTTGCATTCAAGGCACCAATGCATGGCGCGTTCAGTCAAGCCTGGCCTTGGCACATTGCGTGTGGCCCAAGTACCCACACCACATGGAGGAAGTAATTACAAAGCATTTGTTTACGACTCCGTTCACCATTAACCTTCTTAGTAACAATAATGCTTTCTAGTAACAAGAAGCTTCCTTGGGAATCGTTTCACTGGGAATCGTTTCACCCGTAGTAACAAGAACCTTTGGCCACGCCCCGCAATATCGATCTATTGGCCAACGAAGCTTCAAGTTACTACGAAGCTTCAAAGACCTAAAGCTTCTTGTTACAGGTGAAACGATTCCCAACCAACGATTCCTACTGGTGAGTTGTCCGTACGATCGATGTCGACATGTCACTGATCAGTGCCCTCGGGTTCCAGCAAGCGAAAGGCCTGTGCTAGTCGAAGCACGTCCTTGTTGATCTCCTCGAAGCACGGTTTGCAAATCCGATGACTGACAAGCAAAGAACTCCCCCGTTGTGCCCAGAACCAGGGGCGTCCTGCGTCCGCGGATTGTAATCTGCCCACCTGAGTTTGTCAACACAAGGCTGGAACCTTCAGCATCTTCAAACGTGATGTCTGAGGTGTTTGATCTATGCGATCCCATTCTGCTCAGTACCAGGCTCGGCTGCATCCGTCTGATACATGTAGTCCAACATGAACTTCACAGCCTCACACAATCACACCACCCACTAACTCAGCTTGGCGCCTGTGAAGCAGTCTAAGTATATCTGAAAAAGTTCACAGAGTGATACGGTATCTTGGTTTGCCTTTCTTTTGCTCTGCCTAGCGATGTTCCTTCTGACCAGTACTAAGGGGATGTCTCGCTCCTTATGACGCATCCGTCTAGCAAACACCCAAACCTACGTGCCTCTGGGTTGGAGATCTCAGCCAATCGGATCTCTTGCCTGAGCGAAGGAAGAGACATGAGGGCCACATGAGGTTGAAAAGTGAGTGACATCCGATCGGGTCTCCAGGAGAGCGTCCAAGAGAGCGGTCCGTCGGTTCTCTACGTTCCACGCCTGCCGTCGTTGGCCTCCTTGGTCACGGTGGCGAGGCCGCTCTTGAAGACCTTCAGACGCATCGAGAGAGAACATGAAAGAGTTGGCACCCTAAAAAAAGCACAACCAAAAAGAACGTTACAATGGCAGCATGGCACGTCACATCACCATCCTCACCTCGCTCTCTGCCGCCAGGACAATGCGATGGGCGTAGAAAGTTCGTTCTGCACAGACCTTGAGCCGTTCGTCTTCGTGCGCCCCCACCCATCGGCTGATCGCTGTCAATCCACAACAAGGCCAGCAACCAGAAAGCGATGGCCTCAACCTAATAGCAAAGAAACCTAATAGGAATGAATGGCCTCCAACCT